CTGTGAAGCTAGCTTCCAAAGTGCATTCGAGGAAGATGAAAAGGTGGAAGGGGAACAAGGTTACGGAATCCCAGCGGAAAATAACTACAGGGATCTTACTAATGATGATACGCAGGAAGTTGTTCTAGAGTCCAAGGATATTTGCTCGAACATAGATGAGAGAGAAGTAGGCAACGGATTGGAGGACATTAAAGAGGGACAAGAGACGGGTCAGGAAGATTTTCAAATGGGACAGTTGAAAACTGAACTGATGCGATGGGGGATGGGGGAAGGAATATTGTGGGCCAGTCGTGCAGAAGGACTTGGAAGAGGTGGAAAGTTTGTTAGGGATGATGGTCATGAGACCAACGATAAGAGGAGCTGAGAAAGATAAGAAGCAAAATGGGGTTCTAAGAATGGCTGAGGTCCATCATGGGAATTTGAAGGAGGGCTTGACGGGCTAATTAATGCAATGGCCTAAACTGTTGAGAAAAATGATAAACTAGGTAGAATGGTTAGATTCTTAAAAGAGTGGAGGAGGACCTTCTGGAGAAGGTTTCCAAAAGAAAGAACAATGAGGGGAAAGTAAAAAAGACACAAGAGGCGTTGAAGGCTTGGAAGGAAATTTGCAAATGAATCTTTATCAGATGGGGACTTCTCGAATAAACAGAAGGTGATTACAAGGGAAGCAGAGGAAGCATAGGAGTTGGGCAAACGTCTTGGCTTCTCGGCAACTTATGAAGACGAGGTTGTGGTGGAACGACTCAAAGAACTTTGTTCAAAAAAGTGAAAGACAAAGTAAGTACGATTAAGAAGTAAGCGTGTTATTGTTAAACTGATTGTTTGGGTCTGGATATAGAATTAGTAGTATGAGAATTATCTGTTGGAATATAAGGGGAATAGGTGGTGGAACAAAAATGGATGTTTTGAAGAAACTGGTAATAATTCATAAAATAGATATGGTAATTATTCAAGAAACAATGAAGGAGAGCTTAGTGGGAGCCCATATCGTGGGTCTTTGGGTAACCTAAATTTTGATTGGGGATTTGTGCCTTCGATAGGTAAATCTGGGGGTCTGCTAATGGTGTGGGATAAAGGGAGCTTTATGGCAAAGCAAATAAGGTTAAACAGGAGGTTTATGGCAGTTAAAGGCAATCGGACTGACTGGGGTTTTGAGTGTGTAATTTGTAATGTCTATGCTCCTTGCACTAGGGCAGAGAAATTAGTTCTGTGGAAAGAGATTCTGGAGCTCAAAGACGAACTTGGTGGATCTTGGTGTGTGGCAAGAGATTTCAACACGATCAGATCAGGTTTAGAAAGGAATGAATGTGTTCTTGTGGGAGTGGAAATCCAAGAATTCAATGACTTCATTGAAAGAGGTGAGTTGATAGACTTGCCGCTAAACGGTAAGAAATTCACATGGTAAGGGAGCGGCAACAAAAGAAGCAGGTTAGACCCTTTTTTGGTCATGTCCGAATGGGTGGTAACTTTCAAGGATATATTCTAGAGAGGTTTGAGGAGATCTGTATCGGACCATTGTCCAATCTTACTTGCATCAGATGCTGTAGAATGGGGACCAAGACCATTTCGAGTAATGGATTATTGGTTGAATAATTGCAAGTTTTTGAAGAAAGTGGGAGATGAATGGAAACATTTTGGGGTTTCAGGGTAATCAGGGCATCACTTAAGAATGAAATTAACATAGATGAAAACCTTTATGGAGAAATGGAACAACGAAGTGTTTGGGAACATAGAGGAAAAAATAGTGAGGCTTGAGGAGAAAGTTGAACTATCGGAAAACATCATAAACCTAAAGGACCTGTATCCTTCAAAAATTGAAGATCGTAAGAGAGCTTTAGAAGAATTATGAGTGGCACGCAAAAATAGAGAATCTATGTGGCAACAAAAGTTAAGAATTATGTGTTAAAACAAAGAGATAAAAATGCAAGGTTTTTTCATTGTTCTGCTAAGCTGAGGACCTGCAAAAACATCTTGGCTGGGTTTTATGACAATTGGATATGGTTTTGGATCCAAAGAAAGTGAAGTCTCTGGTGTTGGAGATTTTTAAATAGCATTTCACCAACGACGAATAGGTTCATAAAATGGTGGTCGGGCTGCCATTTGGTAAATTGTCTCAAGAAGATGTGGAGCTACTGGAGGCTCCCTTTGAAATGGATGAATTGAAAGAAGTAATTTGGGAAGGTGAAAGCTCGAAGGCTCCGGGACCAGTTGGTTACAACTTTAATTTTTATAAGAAGGCTTGGAATTTTATAAAGGATGAGCTGATGCAATTTCTGGCAAATTTCCACACCTATGTGAAACTGGAAAAAGGGCTGAATTCCTCATTCATTACGTTGATCCCAAAAGTGGAGAATCTTGTAGGGCTAAAGGAGTACAGGCCAATTAGTCTAGTTAATTCTCTACATAAAATAATTGTGAAAATTCTAGATACAAGGCTGAAAAGGATGACTGTTAAATTGGTTAGTGACATGTAGTTGGCTTCAATTGCTGGGAGGCAGATTATGGATGTAATCCTTTTGGCGAACGAGGTTATTCATTCATTGGTAAAAGACCTGCAGCAAGTAGGTGGAATGATTGTTAAGTTAGTTCTTGAAAAAGCATATGACTGTGTTAGTTGGGACTTTTTGTTTTGTGTTGGAATCAGTAGGCTTCGGGAAAAGTAGATCAGGTGGATAAAATAATGTGTCAACGTAAGGGTATTGGTGCTGGTAAATGGTTCACCAATGGGAGAATTCAAGATGCAGAAGGGCTTGAGGCAGGGAGATCTACTCTTTCCCTTTCTGTTTATTATTGTCACAGAGGTGCTACATCTGTTAATGATCAAAGGGGGCTCTTAGTCTTATAAAAAGGGTATCGTGTTTGGTCCTTCATTAACTATCTCGCACCTCCAATTCGCTGACGATACCATTATGTTTTTGGGAGCCAGAGAGGAGGTCATTTACAATATGAAAATGATTCTGAAATGCTTCGAGTTGTGTTTGGGTCTATAAACTCTAGCAAATCAGTGCTGTATGCGACAAAAGCGAAAAAAATAAGGGTGGAGTCTCTTGCATCTATGCTGGACTGTAAGTATAGCAGTCTCCTGTTCCTATACTTGGGTATTTCGGTTGTTGCAAACCCCAGAAGAATGGTGGTGGGACCCGGTTATCAAAAGAATTTAGGACAGACTAGCACTTTGGAAAAGGAAATACCTATCATTTGGAGGAAGGGTGACATTGATCAATGTGGTGCTTTCATGCCTTCCTTTATGCTATATGTCAGTGTTTAAGGCGCCAGCTGGAGTAATCAAGAAGATTGACCAATTGAGGAGGAACTTCTCATGGGGAAGAGGAGTGAATCAGACAAAAATAGCAAAAGTAAGCTGATCGTCAGTGTGAACCAAAAAAGTTCAGCGGTCTAGGTATAAGAAACCTGGTAGTTAAGAATGAGGTGTCTTAGCTAAGTGTCATAACGTCTAGATTCAGAGATTTATCATTAGATATTGATTTAAAAGAATCATCATCAATTTTTTTTATTTAGATGCGATTGATCACCTAAAGAATTTATCTTTTTAGGGAACACTAAAATTTAAGTATCCCTAAAAGATTAGGTTTAGATCTACTAACCAGAACAGGGTTCGAAAATTCGGTTACGTGTGAGAAAGATTATAGCACCCTCACATCGCCCATCGAAAGATAGTATAAATTAATTTTGTGTTATCTAATAAACCTTAAAAATTTACTGAATAATTAATTATTGAAAATTATTTCCAATTGACTCTAATACTTTTAATAAAAAATTGAGAAAATTCCCTCACTTTCAACTTTTCCCTAAAAATATTTTTTTTGAAAAGCTTATTTTCAAGGAAAATTGATACTTACAACTTTTTCTCAAAAATATTTTTTTGGAAAACTTATTTCAAGGAAAATTGATACTTTCAACTTTTTTTCAAAAATATTTTTTAGAAAGCTTATTTTCAAGGAAAATTAATACTTTCAACTTTTTTCCAAAATATTTTTTAGGAACTTTTTTTTAAGAAAAATTAATACTTTCAACTTTTCTTCAAAAATATTTTTGAGAAAACTTATTTTCAAGAAAAATTGATACTTTCAACTTATCCTCAAAAGTATTTTTTAGAAAACTTATTTTTAAGAAAAATTGATACTTTCAACTTTTCCTCAAAAATATTTTTTTTGAAAAACTTATTTTCAAGAAAAATTGATACTTTCAACTTTTTCTCAAAAATATATTTTTTAAAAAAACTTATTTAAAAAAAATTGATACTTTCAACTTTTTTCCAAAATATTTTTAGAAACTTATTTTTAAGGAAAATTGATACTTTCAACTTTTTCTCAAAAATATTTTTTAAAAAAACTTATTTTATATTTTTTATTCTTTTTTTATTTATTCATGCAAAAAATATTCTAAAAAAAATAAACAAACACATAGATAAAAAAAAATTAAAAAAAACTACAAAAAAACAAAGAAAATAAACAAAAAATAAAAATAAATACTAAAAAAAAATCAAAACGGTTCGGCTAGAAGGTTGACGCGGCTCAGCTCTAGACACATAAATCGACTGAAAGGAACGGCTTAGAAGAATGAGTAGCACCAATACCAGGTCTACCATGCTTAACTGGTTTGTACGAAATAGAGAACTCAGCAAGGTAATGGCTAATCATTTCAGGCTTGATTGCAACTTGATTGAATGTCTTGCCATTGTACACACCGATAATGCTTCCAATCATTTCGGGAACAATGATCATATTACGCAGGTGAGTTCTGATTGGTTCTAGCTTCTCGCCAGGTAGCTGTTATGCAAGAATTGCTAGTTTCTAGATGCCAAATGGAATCACTAACTGCCATCAGACAACGGCATCTGAACTAGCCTTTCAAGTCTTAAACAAGTTCATTAATGCAATTGGAATTGACAGCTAAATGCAAAACCGAAAAGACTAAACTTCCCCTTCATCATGCCTTGAGTGCTGCGATGCATTCGATTTCAATCTTGGCATCCAATGGCAATACTGCAACATGATATGTTGAATGAGCTAGAGCAGGTGAAGGAAATTATTTAGCATAAATCTCATTTACTTTCCTGAAGTCTTTCAAATCAGCCAGTATAATTGTTGTCTTAACCATAGAGGAATAATCAACACCACTAGCTTTGAGGATTTCTCCCATATTTTTGAGTACATGTTCTGTCTGATCCTCTACACTGTCTGAAATGAACTTTTCAGTCTGTGGAATAAGACCAAGAACACCAGAGACAAAGAGAAGATTATTGGCCTTGTTGGCCTGAGAATATGGTCCCAACGCAGCTGGAGCTTTGTCAGTTGCCACAGCCTCCTTTATCCCAGTAGAAGTGGAGAGGCTTAAGCAAGCAAAAGGAGACCCATTTCTGGAGGAAGATCGCCAAAAGGAAGAGCCAACAACAACTCCTCCAGCTGCGGCTAATGGAGAGCGAGTGTGTAGTACACCCACATCGATGGTTGGAATATGGATTGACATTAAACTACACCAAGCCATTTCACCCTTTTCATTTCTGTTTCTCTCTCTTCACTCTTTCTTAGCCAGTGTCTGCCTTTTTCTGTGTGTTCATTGTTGATATATAGATCCATGCTGATAGAGTTTCAATTCAATTCTAATTAGCATCCAAATCAAAAGATTAGCACCAATCCTAATCTCATTTTTTCAGCTTTTCTTTTTTTTTTTCTAAATTAATCAGATAATGGAGAAAGAAAAAGAAATTAAACAATAGATAGACCATAAAAAGGGATAAAAATGATAAATACAAAAATAGAAAAATCTAAAACAAAAATGAATAAAAATCCCTACACCCGAGCTTAGATTAGTCTCGATTGAAAAAGAACCCCGGACAAAATAGGATGTCTACAGCTACCTCTCTTTGCATATTTTTTATGAAACAGGAATTATGCAAAGACGTAGACACCCATTTAATACACAACTTGACATTTTTTTTTTTGCTTTTATTTTTTTTTTGTTAGAATTTTGATCAAAGCTCTTCTAAGTAGAAGCTCAACCACAGAGACTCAACAACTTTGGAAAAATAAACAAAGGCTCCTCTAAGCAGAGGCTCAATGACTTTGAAAAAATAAATAAAGCTCCTCTAAACAGAGGCTCAACAACTTCAAAAAAATAAACAAAGGTTCCTCTAAGTAGAGGCTCACGACTTTGGAAAAATAAATAAATTCTCTAAGCAAAAGCACCATGACTTCAAAAATAAATGCTCCTCTAAACAGAGGCACCATAACTTTGAAAAGTAAATTGCTCCTCTAAAGAGAGGAAACCACAACTTTGGAAAGATAAATTGCTCCTCTAAGTAGAGGCACCGCGACTTTGAAAAGTAAATTGCTCCTCTAAACAGAGGCAATAAAACTTTGAAAAAAAAATAAATTGCTCCTTAACCATCATGTCCAAAAGAGTTATAGATCGTGATTGAAGGAATTTTCTAATGGGAACTCAAGGATTCATAATTTGAGTTCAATATTTAGAGGTTCAGATTCGTAAGAATCTTTCAACTTCGTAAGAATTTACTAAAATTTGATTCTCAAAATTTTAGTTTTATTCAAATTTGTAATATCTCGAGATTTGCATTTGTAACTTGCAAGACTCGCATCCAACATTTAAAGATCCTTATTTGAATTTTGGAGATTCACATCCAAAAGTTCAAGGCTTTTCAAAGGTTCTCATTTGGCAAACTTAGAATTCATATCCAAAAATCTAAAGTTTTTCATTTGAATTTTGAAGATTCACATCCAAAAATTCAAAGCTTCTCATTTGAGTTCAAAGGCTCACATGCAATAAAACTTAGAGTTTCGCATCTAAGTTCAAAGGTTCTCATTTAAAATATTAGAAATTCATATCCAAAAAGTTGAAGCTTTGTATTTTGGAGATTTACATCCAAAAGTTCAAAACTTTTCATTTGTTCGAAGATTCACAATCGACGAACTTTAGGATTTCACTCCTCAAAGATTCTCATTTAAGTTCTCAAAAATTTTCATCAAAATATTCACAATTTTATCTTTTCAAGTGACTCAAAAATTTGTATGAATGAATGTTATGACAAAAAATGCAAATGCCTTCTTAATGATGCAAATGCAACAACCTAGATTCTCATAGTGCCATGCATGTCCAAACATCAAATTATGTGAATGTACTATTTAAGCAACGATGCCAACATGTTGCATGTAATGCCAATGTCAATAATGTCATGAAATCCTAAATAATTGTGGAATATGGTCTTTAAGACCCTACCATCTCACATTCTCCCCTTATTTAGCTTCTCAACATTTTGGAACAAGCTTCACCATCCGAAGGTTTCTCAGCACCAACAAATTTTACCTATTACCCTACATGCCAGGCTTATCAACACTAACCATTTCAAAATAAATTTCATGTTCTGTCACTTGGTCATCATTCATAAGCTTCTCAATACTAGCTATTTCAAAACAAATTTCATCATCTGTCACTTGGTCATCATTCATAAGCTTCTCAGCACCAGTTTCGTCTATTGCTCCATATCATTTTCATCACTTAACCATAACTCATAGGTTATATCAACCAATACATCCCCATATTCATCACTTGATTATACCACTTTTCAAGATTTGCCCCATCTTCATTTTATTATCCAATCCATCATCATATTCTCCATTTGGTCATATCATATGTCCTTTCAAATCATCTTTTTTAGGTTTTTGCCATTTCTTCATTTTGTTACCATCATAATCTTAGATTTCTCTTTAAAAGAATGCAAGACTTTTTTATGCATATTGTCATTCATTTATCATCATTTCAATTCTTAACAATTATAATGCACTCATATATTTTCTTGATTTATTCTAGGGATGTAACAGTAAGAGAACACAAGGTGAATTATGGTAAAGATAATCAATGAAGATCTATTTTAGTACAAAACAAATGAGAAAGGAAATAAATTAGATACATGTCATTGGGATGAATGGTATGTCCAAATGATGAATATTTAGACAATTCTCAACATTAATCTAGGATTCTTTTTCAAAAACTCATTCCATTTACTGTTAAAGTCATTTTGAGCTTGGTGAACTTTGCCCCAGTCTTTGAGGGATCTTTAGATGTCTTCGATCTTCCATCCATGTGAACCATTTGACCTAGATCTTTTTTTACCTAAATCACCTTTTCAGGTTTTCAATTTGAATCTTTTTTTCATTTTTTCATTTTTTCTTTCTTTTTTTCTCCATTTTTTTCATTTTTTTATTTTTTCTCATTTTTCATCCATTGTTAATATCTTTCCACACATCAAACTTTAGAGCATTGTAGCATGATTCCATTGTTTCATCATGAGCATGCCTTCGTTCAACATATGATTATTCAAGTTGAGCATTCACACTTGATCCAAATGGACTTTTCAAGGTTGTAATGTAGGTCAAGGTGAGAGGTCATAAAAAAATGGATATAATAGGCTCAAAACATGTATTAAAAGGGTTCAAGACTAAAGGATCATTTGATGCAACTTGAAATTTTTCCCCCACATCATTTCACTACTTTTTTCTTTCCTCACATAAAGGATTCTCATTATTTTATCCCAAATCATGTATGGCATTTATTTTATCTTTTGCTTTTCTTTCTCTTTTCATCTTTGAGACCTTTTGTAATTTCTTTTTAAATTGTCCCCCAGTGTAGAGGGTGATCTTTGGTTGGGGTTCTTCAGAAAAAGAAATCATAATAGGCTCAAAGGGGTAGTAATAAATGGTTTTTCGAATTGTAAAAGAAAGATGGCCATTTTTCATCTCAATTGTGAATACCTTTCTTGAACATCATCTATTGAACAAAGCTCATGAGCTTGTATAAAAGATTGCACATCTTCAAGACATATCTATTTCACCTCTAATAACAACTTACTTTTTTGCTCAAATCATCTCCTCATATTAATGTAGATGAGTTCTCAAAATTAAATCTCAAAATTATTGTTATTATTATCTAAATATTCATCATTTGAAATTTGAGAATGGGAATATAAATTTATGAAAGGTAACAGAGCATGGAGTAACGGTCAAGTGAAAGAGAAAAGGTAATGCAATGCATTAACTTGCCTTTATTAAAATAATAATAAGTGAAATCATATTGCAAAAAAGAAATCCTAATATTACTTTAAAAGAACTCTTAGAATGACAAGTAATATTTAACCAGTTTTAACATCCTTCTTTAAAATCGTGCCCCTGTGCAATCAGGTGAAGGATTTTATCTCGTCCCCTTGATTCATTACAACTCTTCAAGCCTTTTTGAATTAACATATTCTTGATTCTCATTCAGAGCATTGACATTATGATTAGGCAATGGATTACCACTAATAGTAGGTATTGTTGTTCTTTTTTTATCAAAACTTACAATTCCATTCTTGATTAACCATTGTACCTTATGCTTTAGAGTAGTGCAATTTTTAGTGAAATGGCCAGCAATTCCATAGTGGTAGTCACAATGAACTATAGGATCATACTACTTAGAATAAGATAGCTTAAGCAGCTTCACACAACTTGGGGGCAATCAGGTGACTATTATAGAGCTTTCGGTATAACTCCGTATAAGTCATGAGGATTGAATCAAATATGAGCTTTTCTTGAATAGTCCGTTGTTCTCGTGAATCACTTTCCAGTCTAATAGGATGAATTTCAGGTCTTGTAGGAGTTTGATTGTTAAGGTTGTATATGGGAGCTTGGGGGATAAAAATGGGCTGGTATATGGATGAATTAGGTGGTGTGGGGTTGATTGGTATGGATAAGATGAAGTATTGTTCACAGTAGGATAGTATGAAAAGTAATCTGAGGCTGGATAGGTTGATATCCCCTGAACTATCTGTCAAAGCCTACAGTTTGAGTTTTAATCTCTTTCTTTTTGGGTGCCTTCTTGGTTTCTCCTCCTTTCAGCTTACCATTTTTAATGGCATTCTCAATGATTTCGCCTGAAATCACTATGTCAACGAAATTTTTTGTGGCATTCCCTATCATCTTTTCATAATAGAAAGATTTTAAAGTACTAACAAACAATATGGTGGTCTCCTTTTCAGTCAAAAAAGGTTGCACCTGAGTCGTCATGTTTTTCCACCTCTAGGCATATTCTTTAAATGATTCAGTTGCTTTCTTCTCTATATTCTGTAAAGAAAGACGATTAGGGGCCAAGTCTATTATATACCGATATTGACTAATGAAAGCATGGGCCATATGACTTCAAGAATAATATGGGACCTGTCCAACTGGACATACCATCTAGCAATAGAGCCTATTAGGCTATCTTGAAAGACGTGCATCAAGAGCTTTTTATTATTGGCATGGGCAACCATTTATCGATAGTACATAGTAATGTGAGTTTTTGAACACCTTGTATCATCGTATTTCTTGAACTTTGACACTTTAAACTTTGAAGGGATAACCATATCCAGGACTAAATAGAGTCTATCAGCATCGACAGAACCATAAAAACTCACTTCTTCCACTACTCGTAGCCTTTCCTCTAACAAGTTTATCTTT